CTCCTGTAGAAGACTGTTTTTCAGTATTTCTAGCCAATCCAAAGCCATTACGGTCCCACAGAACTGGCAATTATTAGAAAACAGCAGTACAGCGCTCTCATCTGATACTCCCATACATACTTGGAAGTTTACTCAAAATACAGAAAGACACCTCTCTCACACATTGCACATCTCCTAATGCAGGATTCAGTTGAAGAGACATCATCTAGTGACATGTATTAATGAGATTGTGTCGTTTCAGCAGGTGGAGTAGGGAGAACATGAAACTCAGGGTCTCCCACTGAACCCCAAAAAATTGAAGACGGCCTGCAACAAAGGTTGTAGAGACACATTTGGTGTTTCTCCTCCGCTCAGTGCCTTTCAACTAGATTGGTAGGAATCACAAGTTTAGAAAACACTTGTATTACAAGATTCATTTAACCTAACCAACTATAGTAAAGATTTTAAAAGAAATCCCTACTGCCTGAGCAGTGTCCATTCCCAGATCTCTAATAATTTATAAAATCTATCAGAGTTTATCAAAACCTGTGGCAGCAAACAAAAAGTAACCCAGACAGCGTTTTTTCTAGCTAATAAGATTCAAATTATTTTCCACATTGCAGCTTGCCTCAGATCTTGAGGATTTGAACAAAACAGTTCCATTTCTCCTGGGAAATAACAGGATAATATCATAGTTCAAAGATTATCTCTGGGAGGCTGATAATTTTCAACCATTAACATTCCTCTGTATGTTACCATGCAATTTTTAATCTCTAAATAGCAAACATTCCAGAGATTGGGGGGGTAGGGAATATCCCTCATATAAGAAGTCTGCAAGTACTTCTACATAATGTAATAGGATAACAATTTTAAGAGAAGTTTTTTTGCCAACCTGTATGTCAGTCAGACTAGCACTTAACACAGATTATACTGAAAACTGAAGATCCCTTTTACAGATGTTTCCTCTGGAACAGGCCAATTTTACAGTAGAGAGCAAGTAAAGGACTCCCTAGCCTTTCTCCTGCCTCTGCTTCACTTTGTCCACACCTCTATTACCACTCATCATAATGTTGGACCATAAACCTCTGGTTTGCATTCAGCAAACAGTTCTAATGCCATTAAAAACGAGGTTTTGGAGTGTTTGCTTGTTTTTTTAATAATGTTTTTATTACATGCAAATTTTATCTGAGATTTACGTGGTTTATGAGAAAGATGATTTACATATGTAGTCAGAAAGACATGCATAGGTGGTTTGTTGGTTTTTTTTTTTTTTCCCCTTAGAAGCAACATTAAAAACTTCTGTGAAATAAATTATTTTTGCTCTGGTAAGCGTAGATGAGTAATTCCCAAAATAGTCTACAAATCAGTTTGGGCAGTATCATGCAGCTTACAGATAGTTGCACTGAACTACTATAGCCTTTTGTATTCAAGCCATAACCTGGAGAAGTCGAATTTAAATCCTGAAAGGAACATGCACCTGTGAAAATTTAGTCAAGCATTCCACATCAAATATACTTACAGCTACCTATCTGTGATGCACAGAGACTGCGGTGGGTGATTTTCAGTCTTCTTCACAGAGCCCTAAATGTCTATAGATTAACTCAACACTTGTACAAATGGCTGTAACCGGAAACTAAAATCATGCAAACAGGAAACTACACCGACATTGTCAAATGGACCAATGTGGGTGGATAGTTACTTCTGGAAGCACATCTTTTCTGTAGGTCCTAAAAATTGCTATCACAGTGTCTTTGAATTTTTAATCAAGCATCAAGTTACTTTCAAGAAAAGTAAAAAAAGTTTATGACTGATCACATACACAGCCAGGACCACTGATTAAAAAAAAAAGCAACAAAGCCTCCTTATTCGTTTCAAAATCAAAGAGCTTTCTAAAAACACTTCACACCTGCTTTTGAGATGAAGCTACTGGAGAAGTAATGTGTGGGGGTCATTTCTATACTGAGAAAATACTTCGCAACAGAACGCAACTGCATGCAATTTACATAAAGAATGAACTTCAGACACACGTAAAAAAAAGGTTATAAACTTGAAACACAAAGAGCTTCAGGTTTCTTGAACTCGATAATATGGGGACAACTCACTGAATTCTACATGGTTAGAAAGATTAAGTAGAACTTCAGCAACAGCGCAAACACAGTCAATATACATGTTGCTTTCTTGATTTCCCACCCCCAAATTTTAGAGTGTTAATGTTAAAAAATAAGTGCTCTCAGGCTTATTTTCCATCAGATCTTCTTCATATGACAGCCCAGTCTGTGAGCTGAGAAACTATGTCAGAACATTATGATTGCTTCAAAATGCAGCTGCTGGTCAAGCTATTATACTTGCAAAATCAATAACGAGCAAAACATTACGTGATCTCAAATGCCTAACAATAAAAGTTTAAAGCAATTGTTAAAAATCCAAATTCCTTAAAGTTCTGACAAAATATCTACAACTTCTCCAATTTTACACTTCTGCTCCTGCTTTTCACCCATACCCAATTCTTAAAAAATGGGGTTTTTTCTTCTGCCTTTATTGGAGGCAGAATAAACCCAAAAGTTAATTTGAAGACAACAGTGAGAGGTACTGGGATGCAATACAAACCCTGCTTTTAAAGCACAACACAGCTGTTGAACATTAATAAACCCATGAGTAAATTTCAAGATCATAAACCCAGCTGGTGGGGAGTTGCTCATAAAAAAAAAAAAAAGAGGAAAAGATTGCAATACATTATCGGTAAGAATAACTTACATTAGACAGTTTCAAGTAAAGCTAGTACAATTCACCCTAAAATATTCCACAGCAAGACACAGTTTTATAGTCTCCAATATTCGGAGCAAAACTAGAATTGACAGTATCCATTTATTCACACAACTTTTATGTAACTATTTAGCTATTAATTCAAATATGTGATTTAACAATTTCTGTTGTTTGAATGGCTCCAAAAGCACCTTAACATCCAATGTCAAAAACTGTTTCTCTTAAGCGACATGCTTATTTCAGAACAAAACCACTTCTCACTGTTCAAACCCTGGTGTCCTCCAGATCGCTTTTTCCAACTTCTCACATTTTGAGGAGAGCCATGTAGTCCTGCCAGGCAGATAAAAAAAACACGCTCGATTTGATACATACAGAATGCTTTTTCTCTCGATGAAGCAGCAGAGCCCACTGCCCACAGGGCTGGACACAGCATTCTCAGTTTCAATACCCAACTGGAAAAACCTGCTCAAGCCACACAACTGACCCTGCCCTGACAAGGAAGAGATCCATCTCCCTGAGGTACCTTTCCAGCCAAATAATCCCATCATCTCTCAGGCAGATAACAACCAAACTCCAGATGAACTTCTGAACAATCACAGGAACTTGCCTTTCCTCCAGGAAATTCTTTCCCACCAGGCAGTAGGGTCTCTCAGGAGAGGGAGAACTTTGCAAACAGCTCTCACTGTCCTTCTGCTGTACATAAACCAACATTCAAGTGCACCAATATGAAGAGTTTTCTTACCTTCTTTTAAAGACATGTCTGCAGAAACATTATCCTCCTGCAAAGACTAACTGCTACAAGTACATTTTTTCACACAGCTACCGTGTCAACTTTCATGTTTTCAAGAAAACACAGCACTGGACTAACAGAACAGGTAAAGCATTCCGAGAAGCATGCTCTCATGTACAAATCATTCAGACCTTGAAGCTCATGCCAAATTACAAAGCACATTCCCTTTCCGCATTTATCTTCACTCCTATTTTCTTAGTTTGCCCTCAACATTCAACCACTTCAAATGCAAACTTTTCCTGGTATTCTTTATTCCAACACTATTTAATCATTCTAATCCACGATTCTATTTTAACTTATTCTAGCACAAACATTATGCTACCAATCCATCTTACTATGTTATGAATGCTCTTTTCTCTGCACATAGTACTCAGGTAACTCTCTAGATATATCACGTTTATTGCTGTCCAGCATCTACTGACTTTAATTTTCAAACAGAACTATTTAGGAACCACCTTAATTCCAACTGTTCTCCACAAATGCCCCATTTGTTGGAAATGGCAAGAATTCACTCATGCAAAAAGCACCCTGAAGACCTCAGCTGGACAATCACCAAGTGATTGTGTACAACGCCAGTCGAAGACATGTAACCTGTATGCCATGCAAAAATACAC